TGAGTGTTAGTGATGTATGTATGAGTGTTAGTGATGTATGTATGAGTGTTAGTGATGTATGTATGAGTGTTAGTGATGTATGTATGAGTGTTAGTGATGTATGGATGAGTGTTAGTGATGTATGTATGAGTGTTAGTGATGTATGGATGAGGTTAGTGATGTATGTATGAGTGTTAGTGATGTATGGATGAGTGTTAGTGATGTATGGATGAGTGTTAGTGATGTATGAGTGTTAGTGATGTATGGATGAGTGTTAGTGATGTATGTATATGAGTGTTAGTGATGTATGGATGAGTGTTAGTGATGTATGTATGAGTGTTAGTGATGTATGTATGAGTGTTAGTGATGTATGTATGAGTGTTAGTGATGTATGTATGAGTGTTAGTGATGTATGTATGAGTGTTAGTGATGTATGTATGAGTGTTAGTGATGTATGTAAGGAGTGTTAGTGATGTATGTGTGAATGTTAGTGATGTATGTGTGAGTGTTAGTGATGTATGTGTGAGTGTTAGTGATGTATGGATGAGTGTTAGTGATGTATGTATGAGTGTTAGTGATGTATGTGTGGAGTGTTAGTGATGGGAGTGTTAGTGATGTATGGATGAGTGTTAGTGATGTATGTATGAGTGTAGTGATGTATGTGTGGAGTGTTAGTGATGTATGATGAGTGTTAGTGATGTATGGATGAGTGTTAGTGATGTATGTATGAGTGTCAGTGTCGTATGTATACTGGTGATAAGTATGAGTACAAGTGCTAAAGGAATTTTAAATAGTGATATATACTGTATAAGAGGATTATAGTGTATCTCTATATGGGTTATGAACCCGATAGAGGACGTGTTTATATAACCTACTGCTGTAACACACACACACACACACAACAATATAACCTGGTAAATGAAGTTAAATGGAAGGGAAGGAGGTTAAAACTATAATTATGGTAATATAATAGGTTGTTGGGTGAAGGAGTGTCTCACAGTATATTGTGAGGAGAGACAAGTGTAGGGACGGAGAGAGACAGATAGAGGCGACAAGTAGACTGAATAGGAGAAATAAATTTACAAGGAGAGACGGCAAGGGGGGGAGGAGAAGGCAGATGGAGGAGAAGGAGGACTGGTGGGAGGAGGACCACCATAACACACCCCTTGTCTTATAAAGAGGGGGAGGATAGGAGAAGAGGGGGAGGAGGAGGACCACCATAACACACCCCTTGTCTTATAAAGAGGGGGAGGATAGGAGGAAGAGGAAGAGGAGGAGGAGGACCACCACCATAACACACCTATATTTAAAGAGGAGGAGAGGGGGGGAGGAGGAGGAGGAGGAGGACCCCATAGCACAACCCTGCCTTAGGAAGGGGAGGAGAGGGGGGGGGGAAAGGAGGAGGAGGAGGAAGAGGAGGATCACCACCATAACACACACCCATATCTTAGAGAGGAGGAGGAGGATGACCCCATAACACACCCTTGTCTAGGGAAGAGGAGGAGGAGGAGGAGGAGGAGGAGGAGGAGGAGGAGGGAGGAAGGAGGAGGAGGAGGAGGAGGAGGAGGAGGAGGAGGAAGGAAGGAGAAAGAGGAGGAGGAGGAGGAGGAGGAGGAGGAGGAGGAACAGAAAGAAGAAGGCCACTGTTAGAGTGAAACTTAATAACTTGCAGGCAGAGATGTAAGAGTCCCATTGCGAGGCATTTCTGAAAAGTTAAGCATGTGTGACACGTACACGACAACGTCATTAAAAAAAAGACATTACAAAAAATATATTTTCATATTTAGTTAAGAAACCAATTAAATTTTATTTATAAATACACGAAACTGCTATACTAAGATAAAGGTGATATTATTGTGAGACGGTATAAGTTTTTAGCATACAAATAGTAATTAATTCTCTCTCTTCTTCTTATTCTTCTTATTAGTAATTATTATTAATATTATCTAAATGCTTTTCTTCACTGTATATTCCCATACATGACTGCAACATACTAATTACCCTTGTTATCCACAGGCCTGGAGGGGGCCGGGGCCTCGCAGGAAGGCAGTAAGGACCTGTACTGGTTCTAGAACTTAGCCTGAGCCACACCCACGCCCATACTCCCACCTGCGCCCACGTCGAGGCTAGCATCGCCTTCATAGACACTATACATGTGAAGTATAGCAAGATGTAGCACTGAGGCTGTCCATGGACCACTGTAAGGGCTACATCATCTCACAATATCGAGTCTATGTTAGGCTCTTGGCCAAAACTATCACTAGCAACAGGACAGTCACCAGGATGAGATCTGAGCAGCAACATGGATCACCAAGTGTCTTCACCACAGAGGAGAGACGAGGAAAATGGTCTCTTAGGGTCACCATCAGAGATATTTCCCAGGCCAAGACCAAGAGTCTTACTGGAGGTGTCAAAACTTATGCCCAAATCACCACCAGTTTCACCAGGACCAGCCGGAGAATTATCACCAGGGACCACAAGACGTCATCAAGAATCACAAAATGCTTCACCAGAATGAAGGAAGATTTTCAGGCGCCATAATACTGTACACTTGCCAGATGAGTGGTGACCCTGCCCTGTACAAGGTGGTAGTCAGTAAACATTATTAAACCTTGGATGTGCTGGGTCGAGTGCCAGGAGTCGTGGGCGGAAAAGAAATCTGCGAGGACCCCCTACACCACCAGAGGGTAAGGGAGGCTCACGTTGTAAACAAAAGTGCCGTGACTATGACGAACAACACCTCAACTAATTTGTAAAAAATACAGACAAAAATTTAATGTGTCCCAAGATCCTCCATGGCGTTAACACCAGAACGCTGCTATGCAATGATGATGATGATGACGATATGACGTGAATACAGTACTGTATATCGAAACGCGACTCTCATGAGATGTAAATAGAGAATGAATTA